CCCCAAAACCCCAAAACCCCAAAACCCCATTAAGACGCATAGATATTGATTCGGCTTTAAATCTGGCCAAATCCTGGAGGAATTAGCAAGAATTTTATAATTCCTCATCAAATTCACCCTCTTCTTCAGCAGTGAAATCCTGGACTTGTTGGTATTCTTGAATGAGGTCTACTAAGTTTGAATAGGCATCCTCCATTTCTTGGTTTTCTAGTCCCTCAGCACGGTAATTGAACATGAATTTTTGCTTTGAGTAGAGATCTTTATGAAGCATCTTGATCCTCCGGAACATCTCATTGATGGATGTTGAGTTGAGATGTAGACTACCTGAGAGATTGAAATCTTTAGAAGGAACTGGAACAACAGCGTTCTTGCAAGGGTGAGCTATGTAATCAGCAAAATAGTACGAAGAGCGATTTAGTGTGTTCATGATCTGCATATCTGCATCTTTTTGAGTACAATTTCCCCTGAAAATGGCATTACCAGAGAGATGACGGCCATGTCTAATGTCCACTCCTCACAAGAAATGTTTTGCTGTAAAAATTTGTTGAGTCACATTCTGTAACTCTCTCTCATCATCAAAGAGGATACCTTCTAAGCTAAGAGGGGCAGAACTCATCATGAGAAATGGAAAACGAGGTAAAGGAACCATCTCCATTCATACCCTACGAAGAGTAGAATGGGATTCGCCTCTGAATCTTTGACAAGAAGTGATGCTACTGTAGGCTGGAATCAGGATATCATTGAGATGATTATCTTCAGGAGATTCAATATGAAGAATCTTTGTGTTGATATCATATAGAGCTTCATTATCAATCACATTGACTAAATCACAGTCCTCAGTCAGCTTATCAATGGCCAGAGTTGCATTATAAGTCTCTATAGCAATCTCACTTACTTTTTGTGAAGGAAATATAGAGAAAGTACTTCACATCTTTGCTGGGAATTCCTCTTTTAATCGGGACAATAGGAGACAACCCATGCCCGATCCTGTGCCTCCTCCGATGGAGTGTCAGAGCTGGAACCCTTGAGGGTTGCTTCAAGCTTCTACCTCCTTTCGAGCTGCATCAAGGATGTGATCTATTATTTCTGCTCCATCAGTGTAGTAGCCTTTAGCCCAACATGACAGGCCAAATCTCTCTCCAGCTATAAAGTTATGTGGATCAAAAGATGGCCCGGAGTAATTCATAATCGCTGATTCAAGAAATGAGGAATCAGTGTCAGCTAGTATGGCTCTAGGGGAATAATTTCCATCAGGTGTTTCTTTAAAATTTATCCCTCTGTACTCAGATGAAAGTTCATCGTCAGAGCAAGGGAATCCATCTGAGTCAAGATGATGCTCCTCAGAGATAGTTTCCCAATACTTCATGCCTGTGTTGATTCCTCCTTTGCCAAAATGGAAATTCAGTATTTCTCGCATTGGTTTCTGTTCAATTAAAATATTGCGTAATGGGGTTTTGGGGTTTTGGGGTTTTGGGG